TCGACCGGGCCTTCAGCAGTCCCGATTTGTTTCGATGACTTCACAACCAGAAGTTCAACGTCGTTGGCACCGTCATGGCAAACAGAAAAGGGATGCCGAAAGACCTGCAGTCCGTCAAGCTGAAGCGGGGTGAAACAGCGTTCCGGTCGGCCTACCTGATAGATAAAGACAAAGAGACTGTACTGTAGTTGGGTATATTCCATTTGTTTTGGTAAAGAAATGCCACAATCAAAAGAATCCCATTGCAGAAATGTACTCAATATTTCTCTCATTTTGGCAAGTTACATCAGCACACAGTTAATAGAGATTCATACTGGGGGAGGGCTTTTCAAAATTTAACATTTACATTTACATCATTTACATACTTAATGTGCTGTTTCTGCTTCAGTCTGCATGGAAGTGGTGTGCTATCTACATGCATTATTGGTTTTTGATGCACCATCAACAACCCAGCAGTTACCCTTCTTGGATATCTTTATACAGGATGATGCTGTGTACAGTGAGAACATGTTATGTCCAAACTGATCAGCTGTAGGATTATTGGGACTACCACCTGTGCCTCGCTGTTTTTAGAAGTCCAGTTAGTCTTGGTTAAATTTGGCACTATAAGGAGGAAATGATCACAAGAAGCAGCTCTCCAAATTCAACGAAGGAGCACACTACCAAATAAAGAAAATAATGAAAAGTATTTTAGGGTAGGTGTCACGGGGTGATATTTAATCAAAATTGCTGTGAAGTTTATGAACACCAAATTTATTTTATGAGGCTCTTCTTGTTGCCAATGTGGACATTGCAGTTGAAAACAAATGTTATTTTTCTTGGACCAGCACACCTGAACATTCCTTTAGTCGTACAAAATTTAATGGCAACAGCAATCCATTTACATTATATATAACGGGTTTGCCCTTACCCAACGTAAGGGCAAACGTTAGGTAAGGGCAAACCTGTTATATATAATTAACATCTCCCCAACGCAAAAATACATCATGAAAATAGTTCTCGGTACCCGCTGCTTCATTTGACTCGGACTGGCCAG